CACACATACACACACACACAAACAAAGACACACACATACGAACAAGCAGACACTCATAGACACAACAGACCGTTACATCTGGTCATTAGATCTGGCCATATAACTTTACTCAGTGAGAACCACATATTCACACTTGCACACTCACACACACACTCACACACACACAATCACTCACACACAAACACACAAACAAACACACGAACAAACACACAGACAGACACACAGACAGACAAATACTGACCGTTACATCTGGTCACTAGGTCTGACCAGATGACTTTACTCTGAGAGAAGCAGAACAATCCCACCCTACCGCCGCGATATGTATTGTCAAATAGATCGCCAGAGTCCACTATCAAACGCTTGTCGTTGAAAAATTTCACTCTAGAGATTGTGAATTCATTTAAATGTAAATCTATTTAAAATAATTAATTAAATAAGGACAAAAAACCAATAAAATAATAATAATAAAAAATAATAAAATAATAAAAATGTAAATAGGTGACGAAACCTGATGAGGCCAATGCTAGGTCTGTGCATGAGCTCCCATCTGTATGAGGTTTTAGCCTGCCAGCCTATTTTGTTCTCATCGTTGAAAAGGTTTCTCGTCTGCGTTTGTTTGGCGGGTTTTTTCGATGGAATTATGATGATTATTATCATTAGAGAACTTACGATGACATTATTAATATTTCTATTATTGTTATTACTATATTAATTGTCGTTAGTTTATAATAATGATATTAAAATTAAAAAGTTATAAAACAGTGCAGTTCATATGCCGACAGGGACTAATGGCATTTAACGAAAAACAACTCCAACATCAATTAAACCGAAAACTGAACAGCCCAACCAGCGGCCCAACAACAGCAACAAAAACAACAGCAGCAGCATCGGCACGTACCTCATCTTCCTTGCCCTCCCTGTGCCACAGGGAGTTCCGCATCATCTCGCCAGGGCCCTCAATCGAGTGCACCACCTTTATTTGAACCCCCGCGTCTCCGACTGCCCGGAAGGGTTCCTGCTTCCAGTAGGTTTGGTGCTCCTTTTTCCACATTACCACGTAAAATCGACGATCGTTCTGTGAAGTGTGTGTGAGTGTGTTTGTTTGTGTTGGTGTGTGTGTGAGAGAGAGAGAGAGAGAGAGAGAAATGAGAGAACGAGTGTCTGTGTGTGTTTGTGTGTGTGAGAGCGTGAGAAAGAGAGAGAGTGTT